TTATGGGAAAAAGTTCCAATGGTACAAAGTAAAAATCACAAGAAGACGCGTCACGAGACTGGCCATCGCCAGCAGGAGATCGATCGTCGTTCGGCTTCCTTGAAACCCTGATTCTCCTTTGTAGGTAGCAATTACTGTCACACATGGTCTTCCGACGCGACGATTCCTGTCTACGTCTTCAAGGTCAACCGGAAATTCGGAAGAGGTGGTCGGTTCTGGGGAATTAGCACTGACCTAGGGAAGGCCCCGAGGTCGTCGATGGCACACATTCCGAGTGCGCCTATATTAAGTTAACTGCTTCATAGCTGCCGATTGGACAGCTGGTTTACCATTGCCGATATATAGGTATACGCAGGGCATAGACAATGCCAATTGCACGCATCCGCAAATTTGCCACCAACTGGCACGCTTATGTTATAGAGTTACTGCGGCTCTACCTAAGTGGCTCCTCTCTCTAAGACACCGAGTAAAGGTGAGCTCACAACGATTGCAATCCGACGTGACACGGAACATTAATAACAATACTGGTTTCTGGTCATTCGTCATTCGGTAAGAATCTAACCTGGTGATTCAGAAATTCAGACGTTAGTCCAGTGTTTGAGAAAATTCTAGAGAAGACACTTGTTGGATGAATGTAAAAACAGGTATAACGTAATATTATTATTTAGTTGAATATATTGTATCGTGTATATTTGTACATATTGAATATCCAGCAGACACGTCATCGAGACTGATGATATTTTCCCAGTCAGTGCAATGACTTCCTTCATACAAAAAATTGGTAATGACCGAAGCCCTGCGGGAATAGATTCAAGTAGATTTAACGCTTACAGCATGATATCATTTACTCGATTCCGCTCCATTTGTTTCTACACGGTGGGCAACAAATTTCAGTTAAAGTTTAATATAATTGTTGAATTTGTTCTTTTCACTGTTCCCCAAAAAACGGCAATGTTAATGTCGTTGTAATGTCTTCCTTTAAAACAAGAACTTTATCGACCGTTTCGCAATCGAGATCGTAGGCCCGAACATCTGGGGGAAACGACATTATGTCAGACTCACCACCTGTGCCACGCATGCCAAGGTTGCAGCGGGAAAACGATCTAAGTATTCACTCTCGCGATGCAGATTTACCGTCGGTGATCCGTGACTAATGAGAATTCTGAGATTACAAGTCCCACGTAGCCACACTGTTCCAGTTCGAACTTCGGTTTCTCATAAAAGAGACCGTACGTATATGGATGGACGGCGTTTAACGTGGCCTTAATCGCGCCCAGACGCCTAAAGCAGCGAGTCACTGTACATCGTCTTTACTTAATCGACGGCGTCTTATTTCCATTGCGTTGATACGGTGTATCGACATCAACGTTTCGCAATCGACGATAAAGAATCGTTAGGTCAACGTTAGCCTCTCTGACTCGCCACGTAGATATTTCCAGCGAAATTAGCAATCAACGACTGGTAACTGGCGTTATTCTTAATCCGTGTCTCTCACATTTTTCGGAATTTGTAGGAATTTTTATTTTCGTATGCGATATGCGTGCAACGCATGTGCGATGTATGTAGGATGTGTACATGATCACATATACATTACGCATGCCTCACAAATACACCACGTCACATATATATCACATTTACTAGACACGCATGAAATTTCTATAAATTCTAACGAATATGAAAATTCATCATATGCATCAAGTACGTATCACACGAACATCAAATGGACATCACGTATGCATCACATATAATCATATAATTGACATCAGATGCACGATCAAATTCCTCTGAATTCTGCCAAACGTCGAAAATTCTTTTCAGCCAACAAAAATGAAATCGTCGATCACAAGCTAATCACAGTGTCCCAATGCGAAACCAATCTCGTCCAATTCGTCGTGCAATACGCACGACCCTAATCGTCGATTGGCAATGGTCTTACGGTTACCGTCAGCGAGGCAATAGAGACGGTGTTAGCCGTTTAGCTCGACTCGATTCGCTACTTGTCCCTCGGCTCTCCTTCTGCTCTCGCGAGATTCTCTTTCTGGGTCAGAAAATATACGACGTGCATCGATCGATATGACTAACAATAAGTCATCGACTCGACGCCGCGGCGAAGAATACTCCTTGTTGGGACTTGTGGTCGAGGACGACGGAGACGCGAACGAGTGATAATCGATAATCGAACGCGGAGAGTAAATGGGACGATTGTTCGTCGCGAGACGAGAGACCTTCGCGGATAATCTAGAAATTAACGCGCCTCGGTGACGGTTTTAACTGGCCGTTTTATTGCGATTCACTCGTTGCAAATGATGTTTTACGCGCTGACAGTTTATCTTTGGTGGGATCTTGGGTGGACGTTACGATACCTGACTGATGGAGGATGAGAGCTCTCCTTGGAGCTCTGGAGAACCGTCGTTGGATGTAGAGTAGTTTTCTTCCAGATCCGCGAGGACGTTTCTTTGATTGCTGCGAGTGGAAACGGGTTGCTATTTCGTTTCACTAAAATTTTGATTACCCTTTGTCCTTCTTTTTCACATTTTGGAATATAGAATAAATATTAGTAGCAGAGATCAGTTCAGCTCTTATCAGCATCGGAGGTCTCCTTGGCAGAAACGGATATGAAGATGAATGAATAATAGGTCGACGGGATCAATAACTTCCGTCACGTGATGATTATCTCTATGTACATACTGAGCTCAACTATTTATGGCAATGAATTTAAATGTATGCTCTTTCTCTCTCTTTCTTCGTGTTAAACGAACAGAAACTTTGGACAATATTCTAAACAGCTTTGTGTGCTTGATACTTACGCAAAGTAAACTGAAGTCGAACGTTTCGAATGGGTGGTTAGATGTCGATAAGACTGGAAAGTAACAGTGTTTATACAGATTTAAAACGTGAGAAAATGCAAGTGAAATGATTGTATATAAATTTAATTGCTTTAATTAAATATTCCTCTGTGAAATTGATACAAAAATAATCTCAGCATTTCGAGATACGATGCTCTGATGCGTTTGAAGTATTAATGATGTAAAATTACCATTTTATTACCATGTTAACGCACTTGTACATATTAATAGTAATATACATTTAATGAATTACTAAAACTGTTTAACACGATTTAAGATAATTTTAGATCAAAATAATCTTCTTGTATTTAATTAAAATAAATTTATGTAACAGACAGTTTTTCGACCATCAATGTACTTATCGTTGGATAAAAAAAGGCTCATGTTACTTATGCGACTAACGCAGTTTATTTAAAATTTATAAATCCAGGATTGATACGATTAAATACAAAGGACAGACACAATTTTATAAATATCTATTTGAAACATATTTTAATTCATAATTAAATAATTAAAATAATATTTAGTCGTTCATCATGTTGTCCTCAAAGATGTTACGTAACGCTATGTACACCATATCTCGAATATTGACTCACGAGAAAAAAACATCAGACTCATCTTAAGTTAGTCTTAATTAGTAAATTTACGTTTCGTTTTTTTTCTTTTGAATTGCGAAATTAACGTTTATCTTAAACATGTGTCACCGCGTTCAAGGATTCCTTTGTAAGCAAGCGACGAACATTTCAAGGTACGATTTCAGAGAGATGGCGAGCAAGAGTATCGTCATATATTATAATCGGTATCGTCATACTGGTCGTCATACCGGATAATTTCCTACTATGTACTGTACAATTCTTTCAACATAACGGAAGTTGTTTTAATTACATATTGCATAAAGCAACTTTCACTCGAAGAATGTAGAACGAAGGTTAAGGGGTCCGTCTCGTTCTAGAATTTGAAGTCCACGCGGCCAATTAATAATAATTTTCTTTGAATGAAAAGCTGGAAAAACTCAGGGTCGAAAAGCAAACAGGCAGATAGTGAAATGCAACGAATCAAACGATCGCGACCATTATCGCTCTGATTTCGGGTTACGCAACATCGATCTCGCGAATAGCGTGGGTCGCTAAGTGAATGATTAAACGTGCTGTTCCAGGTAATCTGTTCGGCAGAATAATTGCGAATGATTAGGTGTAGCCACGTGTCGAACCACCCACAATTAGTGGGGCGTTTATTACATGTAATAAGCGTAGGATTTGTAATTAATTTGAGACTATTCGTTGGCTCGATGTATCTCAGTCTCTTTATATTTATCGATTCTTGGTGCAATCTTTCACACAGGCGGCGATGACGTTGAAAAGTTATACAGGAAGTAACAGCTTTACTTAATAAACAGAAAACAAACAAATAACTGATACATGCGAACACGATAAGAAAAAGGAGGATTTCATATATCTCGACGTGATTACGTTAACTGGATTTGCGAACAAGAAATTTAAGCCATATACACACAAAACATTGGAGTGTTATCGATTCGTCATTGACTTGTGTTTACTGTTATTTTAGTATCGATTCGCTTTTCTGTCGATTAACGAATAACGATTAACGATTCGACTTTTCTTCCTAATTCTCCGAACTTTCACTCGGGATTCGATCGTAGTGATTTGCGTCTAGTTACGTAACAATTAGTGACGTGGTTGGTATCGAATAGATTGGAAATCATCATGTACCATCATATGTCGTCATATACCGTCATCACTCGTCATACACCGTCGTATTATATTAGGTCCTTCTTTCTCAGTCAAACACAAGTAGTACAGGATGTACCCGATCTTTGTATTTCGACTAAAACCACCCAAGATAACGATTAAACACGAAAAACGAAGTCTCGGCAGCATCTTTAGGAAAAGTTTTCGTGACGAAACACGTAATTGCGGCTCCCTCAGGTAAGGGGGGTGGGGGTGGGGGTGGGGGGGAAGGGGGGAAGGGGGTAACCGCGTTAAAGGACAAACCAGGGACGCCCCGTGTTCACCAGGAACGATTTTACCGGTTCCACGAGACAGATCGCGCACACCTATCGCTACCAAGCGTGCATCGCGAAACGTGGTGGGGGGGGATCGGAGAGCCTGTGCCGACCGCGTTCCCTCACCGGCGGCTCAGTCAGAGTCCACAGTCCTAACTCGGCCTCAGGCTAAGATAGATTGTATCTTTCGTCGGGGTACGATCTCCTGTCGCGAAAATTCGTGTCTCGCGCGCACGACGTCAGGTCTCACGTCGGCCCTGACCGACCACCTCGAACCGCGGACCGATATCGAACGGGCCATTCGAGGGCCGACGAAACCGACCGACCCGGCACACCGACTCCTTTCGTCCCGTGTCGCGTCGATGAACGTTCCACCGTGACGGTTTCCCTCGTCTCGTTTCAAGTGTCGGTGAACTTCAAGGATACGCTCCTGCTACCCAGGATACAATACCAACTGGAAGGAACGCAGGAGGTAAGGACACCCGGTGCCACCACTGTCTTCTTCGCGGGCAGCTGAATCCTTTTTAACTAAAGACGTCGATGACTTTGACTGAATGATTTGAAATCAGTTTAATTTTACAACTTCGGAGTTGCTATTTTATTTTTTTTTTTTTCTTTGAAACATCCTCGTTTTCGGAGACGACATTGCCCGCATCGCAGTGTTCAGGATGATCTCGCTCCATTAGCGAATCGACGCGAGATTTTGAGCACGAGTAAGACGTTTATTCATTATCGATCAATCGCGAATTAACGTATCAATAAAATGATGAAATTAGTTCTTCTTTAACAGAGGAACTACCAAGCCAGTTAATTCGATCTATGTGTCTGTAGATTCTATTTAAAATTACTCACTTATTAACTGTTTCTTTGCCTCGATTTTCTATCGACAAATTCATTTGCTTCTTCTTTCATATCGTTTAAAAAATATAATAGTACGTTCAATATCGTGCACGGTCCTTGGTAGTTTTAGTGTTAAGAATGTATATTCGCCTCAGAAATAAAAGTTCTTGAGGTCGTATACACCAGATATCCAACGTCAATTGTAAACAATTCTTGTTTTCGTGCGAGATTAAGCGTACATGGAATTAACAGGAACTTAAAGATTTATTTTCAATTTAACGTAATCCTTGGAAACGACTTTCTACGTTGCGACGTCGGGCGTCATTCTTATCTAGATAAAAGTTTCGAAAAACGAGAGATCAACAGATTATCTTTGTATAAACAACTTTTGATCCTATGTTTGTTCGATAAAAATTACGGTTTGAATTATGGAACAAAATTGTATTTCACATCGAAGGAGCAAGAAATAACCCACGTTAGTTTTTACTCGGTTGTTTTTCTTTTAATGATTCCATTTAGAATAATTAATGACAGGCGAAGGATCAATTAGAACCTAACATAATAAACAATTTTAATTGCCCAATCGAATAATTAGTTCGATTCATTGCTTCTTATTAACACTTTATCTACTAGGAGCCTATTTATAGATTTCTTTAAATTTCATTGTTCGTTAACTAATAACAACCATAATAAAATCCAGTCTTAATTATTAACTCTGTTCCACACCTAATACGATGCACAAAACCAAAGTTGTGCTATTTATAAATAAGCCAGCAGTTAAAGTGTTGAATAAGAAAATCGTTTCCATCTCTCATCGAAACGAATAATGGATTTCCTCTAACAGTATTTACGCTGGTTTAGCGTTGAAAACATGGCGTAATTTCAATACCGATCCAAATCAAGTTCCTCTCGTAATGCATACGTAACGACGATTCTTTATTTCACGGCTGACTGTACTTTCTTTGTAATGCAAATGGACCACGACCATTTCTACCTGTGGCCGGTGTAGACGAGTCCCCGATATCTATCGCGCCCGACTCATGACTTTGGTAAAACCGCTTTTCCGGTATTAGTGGCCGAGCCGAGTTTTCTAAAATTAGAACAGAAATGTTAGAAATCGAGTAACGCAACCTCGAGACAGTCAGGGTCGAGCAACAGGGTGCAGGTCGACTTTGTTTTCATGTCCGATAAACGTCGATAGAAGAACATCTCGTGTTCGATTTTCCTCCAAGAAGATAAATATTGCGGCGAATAATATGCGACGGCGTGTACGACGTTGTAAAAACTTTTAGAAGAAAATAGTCACTCTCTTAAATATATTAATCATGCTGTTTCTAAAATACTACATTCTAATTTAACGATGGTAAAAAATAGAGACTACCGATCACAGCTTGGAAGTATTCAATTCATTGTCGGGAGTGTCCATTTCTAACGTACTATTGAAACAATAGTGCACCTTTGAATGAACTTATCACTGTTATGCTAGAAACATGACTCACTAACTTCTCGGTTAAGTAAAGACTTTGTCCATTCGACTAAATTATGGCACCATCTTAACAATGCGGTTGTGTATTTATAGCGCGTTCAGCGTTTATTTTCAGCATCGTTCCCAACATAGTTGTTCGATAAACTTTACGTTGTACATATTTTTCATGACGTATTTATTTGCTTCACACCTAAGTATCGTGGTACGTTTCTCCTCTAATCTGGAGACAGTTTACACATTTCTAAATGAAGATATCTTTCTAAAAATCGACCTTCGATGAAACGAACACAGTCAGTTGATCATGGTCCGTGTATGACCTATAGAAAAATAGGTCGTTGTAGATTATAACAGGGTACACGGTGAATTTTGTTTCGGAGTCTAAATAAAATGTTTGCTCTTCGAAGATTAGAAAAGATAAGTTAGATTCATTGAAAATTGAACTTGTTTGACGTTGTGCAATCTGTATACTTCTTCTAATCCGTGTGTCATCTGCGTTACGAAATTCCACAGTGATAAATGTAACAGCTTCGCCATCAAAGGTGGAACGTTTCTCTAATCTTATCTGGAAGATGTTCGTTCGATAAACGCAGTATTAGCACAGCAAATTACGCGAGGTGTTCAGTTATTTTACAAAACAAATCACTGACCCTATTATAGAGGCTCGGCACGCCTGGCGATAATTTATGCTTGCGTCCACTCAATAAACTGCTTCAAGTGTTCGTACTATTCTTTTCGTTTCAGCAGCAGTAATAAATTAATACGCGCTTAATCGAGTGACGTGTAACGATATTCGAGTGACATTTAGCGATATTCGAGCGAGTACTCGAATATTCGAATAACGATATTGAATTACTGAAATATATTTAAGTAATGATATTCAAGTACTCAAACATTCGAACCTTACTCGAATTACACGAAATACTCAACATTAAATTTCTGAACCAGTTTCAACTCTCTTGTGAGTTACGAATTCATACTCCAAAGATAACGCTCACAAAAATCACTACGCAATCGTACACTTATCACATAATGATTCCTATTGTATCGTCTAATTCCAATTCGTCATTTTTCTCGTTAACCGTAAATACTAATTTCAAGGGTCTCGGAAAGTCGCCGCGTCATCGGTTTTCAATATTCCTTAGTAGCTGAAACAGTGGCAAAGGAAACTGTTACGATGATGTCAGGTTGACACACCTCCGTTACTCCCACAACAGCTTCATTCATTGCTCGGCTCCCTCTCGGAGGACTGGTCGACTATTTTTACCGGAATTTCCACGTGGAATAATCAACGCAACTTGTCTCGATACGTCTACTTGTCTTTCTACTTGTTTCGAGCGGATTATTCTTTATTGCCTCCTTTAGTACGGACTCGAGCCTCGACATTGATTCTGGATCGTGGAAACCGATTTTGATCAGACGACTTGGAAAGTATCTCCATCCACAGCGTCGGGATTTTATTGACGGGTTGGGACGAGTAAGGTTGATCGGATTGCCACGTATCTCGCGATTAGTCACGCGCACCGAGACGCTTCCCGTCTCACGCTTGGAAAACGAGTAATTTTGTAATCGTTATTATCGCGGCGCGATGTTAATCTAAGGAGAAACGTTTTTACCTGTAATCCGTGTGTCTAATTTCACGGAACGTGGGTTTCATGACACGACATTTCAGATTGGCTCGCGATATTGGGTCACTGCTTCGATAGGATTGAATTAGTTGTTTAGTCGATGGCACGTCAGAGATGCGCTGAGGCCAAGAAAGAGGGATTTAGGAGTCCCCGAGGAATGTTTTTTTTTTTTAATATAATCTGGAAAACTGCCATTCAATCTCGAATAGTGAAAGGTTTAATAATTCCACGGGGATTCAGGACGCCTGCGATGTAAGCTTTCGTCCAATCCTTCCGTGGCACTATCACTGCCCTAATGCGTTCTGATTACCATGAATCACTCGGAACGTCGTCCAACCTAGTGCCTTCGCTCCGTGGCAAGTCGCATCGGTTCTAAATGGCTTTATTGAGGGCGCGAATGTACCACCTCAAGGACAAACATTTTAAAACTCTTAATTTTCTCAAGTGAGAATGCAATGACATCGATTTTGCCACGGAGTGGGCCAGGATTACACGTTAGCCTTTAATAACGTTTCGTTGCGTAATGGTCCGTTCAAGCAGCGCGGAAGGTACCCTAAGATCATGCAGGTAGTCGCGTGTACCTAATTCTGAGTACGTCCATACATTAGTTTCTATTTTTGAAATTTATACTGGCGCGCGTCCGTTTATTACACTAGTGGAGAACAGTAAACTTTTCTTTCTAGCATCCATTTGCATTTACTGTCGTATCAACTGTTATTGATTATTAACGATCTGTCGATTTTCTTGGAGCATCTTTAGTTGTTTGAGGAGTAATTTGTTTGAATTGAGACTTTGGAATAATTTAATATTTAGATGTTTGACAAGTGTTTAGATTCTGGAGACGTACTTCGAACCTCTGATTGTTTGAATATTACTATTTCAGCACTACTGCTAGAGTGTCATTTTTAAGATGTTATTAAAATTTTCTAACGCACTGGAAAATGTAGTTTCTATTTGGTCATTGAAGCAATTTTATTCCAATAGTATTTTCTTTGATGTCTGTTCGATTTTAATGAATTTTATTGAAAAGAGCACATGTTCGTTTACCCATCCGGCCAGTTATGTATTCAATTAAGATAAACGGTTTTCGGTCGAGTGATATTCTCGATCGTCTAAAAAGTTCGATTCTCAATCGATTAATTGAAGGGATACTGATCGAGAGTAATTGCCAGCGCTTAAGCGTTGATTGATAGAAATCCGTGCAACAAATTTGCCAATTGGCTTATAACCGTTATTAAAGCCCGTGCCAGTACTGCCACCTTGACCATTAAATTGATTTTGTTTCAAGCGCCACTTATCCAGGCCACTTGATGCAAATTTCTCCGTAATAATAAATCAATTTTCATGGCTTTGAAACTCATTACAAAATTCTGAATTCAGCCAATGTAAACAAGCAGAATACCGTCACGTTTACGAGCTTCTATCATAGTAATTATTATAAATAGAGAAAAAATGTGTTCCTTCTTTTTTGTATAAAATTTAATAACCTGTCGCGGAAAGTAACTTTGCTATACTTCCTTG